TATCCAGGTCACTTACTGGCACGGTAACATGCCCGGTGCTCCATGAACCACGCTTCAATGGAACGAGTTAGCATGTATTGTAATGGAGTGAGTGAGTTGCGTTTTACGCCGCACTCAGCAGTATTACAGCTATATGGCGACGGTCTGTAAATAATCGAGTCTGGACCATACAATCTAGTGATCAACAGCATAAGCATCGATTTGCGCAATTGGGAACCGATGACATGTGTCAACCAAGTCAGCGAGCCTGAGCACCCGATCCCGTTAGTCGCCTCTTACGACAAGCATAGTCGCCTTTCACAGCAAGCATGGGTTGCTTAAGACCTGTTCTATCCCGAATCTTCACATGTCTATTGTATTGGAGACATAAAGTGGCCGAGTTTAGTTTTACGCCTCTTTTAGCAATATTCCAGCAATATCACACCAGAAATAGGCTTCACACTTTGTACCCATGTGCCGAATCAAACACGGGTCTTCAGCTACCCCACTGCCCCTGGAGACTTAAATACGATAAAAACCTTTCAACGTCCATTAGAAATCTCTGTTAAAAGCCGAGTCGACTGTACAACTGTGAGTATACCATGGGTATGTAAAGGACAGTGACGTATTGTAATGGGAGTCATACGGGAATAGGTGACGAGGTATTGTGTCGTCATCATGAACCATGCATACACTACCTACGTTCAACGTGTGTAAGTATAGGTGATCTATCGTGTTTTATTACCTGCGAGGGCGATCATATCGGGGTTCATATATTTCATACTATGCCCTAGGGTAAAATATCACTTTATCATGCTGACGTGACGTCATGAACAATACTATGACATTTCAGTTCTATCACGTTGCGTTCGACATGCCGCGACGACGAGAAGCCAGCCTATGTTTGAAAGTAGATTTGGGTATATTTTGCTCAATTTTACGACTAATAAACAGAATATTATATTCGTACCCATATCATACTATGTTTACGCTCATTTAATATCCTCTGTATATGTACAGGGTCACACCTTCAGAGCCACAGACAATTAGATGTATATTTCAAACGAATTCCTAAACTTCAGTACCACTCCCCTATGTGTTGATACGGGGTCGCCATCATCTCAAATCCCGAAATGTGGATGTTTGTCAATCTTTGACCAACACATGAAATATCTTCCCATAGCACTACAGTTACACCTATCGTAATCCAAAGAAAAGGGCGGTCTTGTTTCGTGTGTGATCACATATTTAGTTGTCATGCATCTGTCTCTCGCTTGACTATATACTATACGCATATATATTCTATATACAGAATGTATTTTAGTAAAGTGGGTGGTTTATGCTTCCATAGTTCCATCAGTAGACATCATGGAAGATAAGGATCACACTTTTCATATAATAATACAGAATAAAGTGTTACATCAAACATTATCTAGTCACAAACAGGGCAAACGGCTTGCCTAATACCTTTACTGATGCCAGCTTTCTTCTGAAACCAATGAATCATTAAATTCACATTGTATGAATGCAGGTAGCTGTTTGCAATATGCATGTCCTTGTGTGACGCATACACCTTCTCCATGTAAAGACAGTTAAGCTGTTGACTACCATAAAAGGAAAATGTGTTTTGGGTTTACACTGCCTCAGTAAAATACAGATTCTCGTACTTGTATTAGGTTGAGTCCCATCCGGGATTCGACCCCACACTCTCAGAGTCATCACCTAATCTCCTGCACACAAAGTAAGCAGTCTAACCCACTCAGCCACTGAAGCTTCCACAGTGGATCATGAGTGAATCATGAGTGGATCATGAGTGAATTATGAGTGGATCATTAGTGAATCTTGTACGAACAAAACGCATGTCCCTTATAACTTGAACAACTTCATACCGACAACGAATGGCTCCACTGACGGTGACTACAGTGAGTAGTTGTATAAATAGCGTACAACAGGGGTACCATTACATGTACACACATACAGAGGGGTCCAGTCCTACACAAGTTGGAGGTTACAGTGACACACCGCCTCGTAATGCCATTATTGTCAGACATTTTGTTTGATGCATCATGGTGATAAGGGACTATAAAGTTCCTTTCACACAGATTTATTGTAAGCAAAAGTCACCACACCTGGTTTTGAATAACGTTAACAAATATACATCATAAAGGCAATAGTGAAAACATCTATATACTTTCACATACAGCTGTGCACTTCTGGATACTTTCACGCTCAACAACCTGCCCCCACTTACATATCAGAAAGGGTATTGTGAACATATGACTTTAGACTGAACAAAAGAATTGCTGTCAATATGCAAGACCATTATCCCTGGATCTATAAAACCTCAGTAAACCAGCACTGGAAGAGCTACATACATTCACATAGGGTTATGTCAGCTGCCAGTTTAGCCAGACATGTATGTAGCGATCTGTGCTGCACACCACTATCAGCCGTAGTCCATGTTGTGCTTTGTGGGTTGTGCTGTGTGACTGAGAGCACGGCAGTGGGACATGTTGTATCG